ACACATATGTATATCAAGGCATCCAGGTATTATATCTGTGTTGATTCGTCTCTACTCGAGTTGGCCCGCCCCTTGGCAGCTACTTCTGCTTCCCTGCCCCCGTAATAGGCATGTTATACTACGACAAAAGACATTGCCGGAGAAGGCACTCGCGGAGACGCGAAGTAAGTATCGACGTCTTAAACGGGTACCTAAGATAAGTACCGAGTGTTTGGCAAAAGTATCGTGTTTTGACAACAAGAGCGCAAGTTGGGACCGGATGTTTGTGCAGCTTTCGCAGACTTGGTGCCCAATGGTACCTGCGTCAGACCCCAAGAGGTGCGCGGCAAATGGCAGCCCATCAGGCAAATCACAGCTTCAAGGCACAGCCACATGCACTCTAGAGTTTGGTGTGTCTCTGACGTGCCCTATCGTATCTTGCTCCCCTCAATCGTTGGCTCCATCTCGTAGCTCTACAGGAACCACTGCAGGTCCGTACGCTGAAGATACTGTGGGTTGGTCGCCGCCTGCATACACGCATAATCGATCGATGCTAGTCTCAGTGTCAGTGTCAGTCGGACCAGACATTATAAGTCTGGGAAGAAATAAAGCCACAGAGGGCCGACTCTTGTTTTGCGTCCATGGCCTCCCAATGCAGAGCCAAGCCCGCCCCCTTTTTGAATTGCATGTGAGGCTCGCAGCAGAGGCAGCCCGCCTGACAACAATAGTACATACGTCCGACTCGTTTGGCAAGACAAGGCACATCAGAGTTCAGCCGCGGCCTTACATCTCACACATCTCACCAGGGGTGAGCACAAAGTGTTATTGAGGCAATGCCTTAGCATCCTGCGACAGGGGTGTGTACCAACTTCCCAGCTTTCGGTGATGCCTGGGAGAAGGGCTGTGGGCGAATCAGTCAGATTCACCTCCAAACCCCGAGGCTGCTGGTACCTATTAACGTGTCTTACCTCGTGCGGGCTGTTGGCGGATGTTGTAGCACTCGCGAAACGTTAGCCACGGTGCGCATCAACGCGTTCATCAGACAGCTCGACGGTGCTGGTTTCCAAACTTGGTGAGATGTGAGGGCAGCAGCAAGGCACAGTTGATGGCTAATGGCACCCTTCTGTGGCTCAGACTCGGCCATTTTGCGCATTTCGCATTTCTATTTTCCATTGTCCCAACTCCCTCTCGTGGTCACCTCTGCGCTCACCACTGTTGTGCTAGGGAGTGGAACAATATGTACCGGACCAGACCTACTCAGAGTGTACAGAGGAGCTCAAGTGCTGTCCGGTGCCACCAGATCAGACACTCCACCAGACACTTCCTGCCATCGGCCAGGTCTGAGCCAGGCCATCATGTTCGCCTTGCCGACCCGGCGCCATATCCATGCTCACGTCCTAGGACGTTTTTTTTTTTTTTCTCGATAAAACCGGACTTTTTTTTTTTGGCTTGGCTTGGCGACATTCCCGCTTCCGCCGTGTTGCTAGTACTCGTCGTGTTCCCTGCTCAAGCTCTTGGTTGGGCACGCGGCCAACTTTTGCCACTTCCGCCTCGTCTTCGCTTATGATGGAACAGAGAACAATACTTGCCGCTGTCTCCGTAGGCTATGCTTTTGTTACTATTGCAAATCGAGACGAGGCCAGCATGATCCTAGTATTCCTAGCCAACCAAGCCCATGTTACGCCTTACTCTTACTCTTGCCCTACAATTCTTTCACCGTGAATTTTGACGACGACTGTCTTCGTCATCACACTTGGGTTTTACTAGGGGTGCACCCCTTTGACTCATTCCCGCTCTTGAAGCCCCATCAGGAACATGCCCTGGCAAAGCTCGTATCAAACAAAGATGCTTGCCTCATTCTCAACTAGACAGTGCCACGGTCGAGCCCGCAGGCCACCGGCTTCTCCTTTGCTGGCCGACCCTATCTCAGTCTCCATGCATACATATCCGGTATACATATATATCAGCGTCTTCCCCTTCCATGTTCCAGTCATATCTCCATTGTTCCATACTCTAGTTTCATACCATCTCATACATTCTGAAGCCTCGTACACATAGAGCCACCTCACGGGCATTCAAGTAGTTGATCATCGCCTCTCTTGTCTATTTACACGCACCCCAACCAGCCCTGATTCTTCATTCAGACACATCAGCAGTTTCAAAAGCCAACGTCTTAAATGCCTGCTCCATACAAAGTTCAGGTACACCAATCAAGCCGGGCTGCCTCGGTCGGAAGCTCCTACTCTTATTCCAGCGAATCATACGCGAGTTCTATGGAAAGTTCGAGCTGTCGCTCGTTGTCTTCTGGCACCTACCGACAGCATGGAGGTGGTAAGTCCTCGTCTTACTCTTGGCACAATACTCAGGTTCAGACATCTGACAGATGTAAAACAGATAAGCATGCGATTCAAGTAAATACATCGTCGAATGGAACCAAGGTTGTCAATCACAACAGACCAGGACAAGAACACGGATCACCTAGCCCCGGCTACGGTAACCCCCATCGCCGATCGTGATAGTTGCCTGGTGTTAGAGTGGTCGTGAATTGCGACTTTTCGTTCAACATTGCTTTTCCCCTTCCATCTCTTTCCTTTCTTTCTTTCTTTCTTTCTTTGAAATTCTGGTGAATATTGTTTATTGTATATTAGAAACGGCGCGCGGATGGAACTTTGTGGCTGGCATCTTTGCTTTGGACTCGGGAGGCATGGAGTTTTTGTCTTGGACTTGATTTACTGGTGAGCATAACGGATAGAAGAAAACTAAAACCATGTATCGAGTTTAAAATAAGGGATAATAAAGACCACGAGGTCTTCTCAATATTAGCGGCAGTGGAGTTACTCCCCTCGACCCAATCAGTACAGTTAGCCAGCACACACTTCTCAGGTTTACCCATTGTTTTTTTAGAGATAGACGTCAAACATCCCTCGACGCTGCACGTTGCAAGGCAGCACTCGCTTCTCAATACTTACTTGGCAGTTGAAGAATATGCATCGCACCCCAGTTAGCTGCAACAAACATGCCCATTGCATCATGAAGGACTGAAACGAGATGCCACAGCTGAATATTCACCAGAATACGGCAGTCAATGAAAAACAAATACGGTTAAGAAGTCACCATGTCCTGTGCACCGTTGACTTGCCCTCTCTTCTTGTCCAGGCCGCATATCAGTGTAATGTCCTTGGAGCATTATCGGGTACTGGCCGATCTGAACGAAGGCATGTCCCACAGGTTACAGAAGGCGTAGGCAACGTACGCGCCACATCGACCAGAGAAGAGACCAGGCTGTACCTTCCTGCTGTCAGAATCACAACACAATATTAATTTTTTGTCTCAATTTTCCCGCCGCCCCTCCACCCTTCTAATCGCAGATTCAGTATTCCACGGAGTATGAGGCCATATGATTAAGCGCCACCCTCACGCTTCGCGTACTCGTCTTCAATTGCTTCCTCATATTGTTGGTCCGCAGTTCGTGGATCTTCATGCAAGACACCGCCTTTAACCAGGGCTTCTGGACTCGGGCGGTGAGAAATCTTGTCATTGAGTTTGTCCTCGAGCATACTTCTTTCCAGCTGAGACTCGCGTTAGTTGCTGGTGTGCCGGGACAGCCATGCGACTTTTGTATGGGCATATACCTCTTTCTGGTGTGCGAGAAGGCCTGGTGCGGCAGACGATGCCGGTAGGATGTTCTCTGCCCAATGATAATTATCAGTAAGTTCTGTTCACCTGTAGAGTTGAGTACGATAGTGAAACTCAGTTTAGATACTGCTCAGGCGTAGACATAACCCACTTTCTACGAGCTCCGCACGATTAGGTCGGTGCATCAGGTGATTCTCGAGCGAGTTCTTTCTGGCTGCATCTGGTCTAATAGGTGAAATTGGAGTCTCGTCGACCCGCTGGGATTGCTGTTCTACGGCTGCAGGCTCAGACATATTGTAAATACTCGGCTTGAGCAGAATGGTCGTATATTTGTCGTCGTCTGGTGTTAAGACGTTGGTCAGACGTTGGTCTGAAAAGGCTTTGGTAGCTCCTCCTTGTGACGTAAAGCGGGGAACTGAGGACACTCAGCTACCAGAATTTGGGTGGATGGTGCGGAGGACGAAGGAATCTTGGAGGGGCCAAGTGGGCAGTGGAAGGCTTTAAGTATTGCAGTTTACAATGCCACTGAGGCCAAGTGCTCTGTTAAGATGTGGCAGCCAATTACTATCCAATTTCCTACGGAGTAGAACCTCAACCGTTCTAGGGTTTATACGTACTGTTGCATACAAGTAATCACAACCTCCATCAACGCTCCATACGTTTACGTCCACGGCTTCCGGGCCGGGTTGGGAGCAGTGCTTGTATTGAACAACAACTCTCATGAGCTGTCTTATCATAGCTGATGAGCCAGGAAACTGTCACCAGAACAAGGGCCCGCGCGCGTAAACGGGATGTACCCCGTACGGTGTGAATTTCACCAGACGCATTCATGGGGCAGCTAGGTGATTGATCCTGGGCCATAGAAGTTACCCCGCGGTCGAGGACGCCATGGAAACCTCGACATGCGCGCTTGGAGCCTCGTGCGCCAAGATGTGGAGAGCTTTGGGCCCAGCTGTTTTGGCAAGAGTTCGATGTTGCTGCAGGTAGAGGAGTGCTTTGCTACTTTGCACATTTTCGAACCAGATAAGGTACCTAGGTATGAAAGCCACGCTCGATCCATGTGCAATGTTCTTTTCCTCTGCTGTTCCCTTTTTCGAAGACCTGGCCGCAAGTGAAGGCGACGAATGCGTCAGCACGTACCATCCCCAGGTCGAATTCCTGCCCCTCGGGGTTTTATGAAAATGAAGATTCAGACATTCCATTACCATGAGCACGCGGTAACAACTGGAGCCTTATTTGCAATTGTCCGACACCCCAATTGCATCACATTGAAGTAGACACAAGATTCAAGATACAGGCAGAAACATGGGTGCGGCATTTGTGCAGATAAGACGTAAATGAGCATCGTTGAGCACTCACGTTGCGTTGCGTAGGGTATGCCAGCAATGCTGGTCAACGTTGATGCACAACTGCGTCACACCCCACATGCGCAGATCCTGAATATCTCGGTATGCAGAGGGTTAGATGGCCACACATTAACTTCCTTGAGAAAAAAGCAGCAGGATAAAAGATAGCAAACGACACATGGAATATCACTCGAGAATATGTACAGCAAGCAACAAGTAGAGTTAACTCGTAAAGGCAGCCCAAGTTGATTGCTTAGCTAATCCGTGCCTGAGAATCAGCTCCACCGCCACTGATTCGTATGCACGAGGAGGCTGTGCTGCGCCGGAAAATTGTCGGCGTTTCGTCACCGTCAGGCACCACATCATCGACTGGCGAGGGCATCAATCGCATTCAGCGCCTCCTTGAAAGAGACAAAAGGAACTTGGCAATACCACAAACATTCCTTGTCTGATATTCTTTTCACTCGCTCGAAAAGATCACCAACCTCTCCCCGCTTCGGGACCAGCCTGTTGATGCGTGATTAGAACTTCATCCCCTGTACCCCACGCCTTCACCGCACTACTCGTCTTTCGGCTCACTCTCACTCTCTTGACATGGTAGGCGATATTGGCTGATAAGCCTAAGTGGCTCGATAAACTCACCCGTAATGCCTCTTTAACTGACATTATCGTTACCACTTGAACAGGGCATATCAAGGCGTCCGAAGGACAAAGCTGTGCGCAATGCCCAATCTGGCGCACCGGGAACACAGGGCGCCGCCGGCGGACGACCAAAAAAGGCCACGTTTGAAGCAACCAAAAAGAAGGAGATCGGAGTATCAGACCTGACCTTGCTGAGCAAGGTCTCTAACGAAGCTATCAATGATAACCTGAAGAAGCGATTCGAGGGTGCAGAGATATACACATACATTGGACATGTGCTTGTCTCCGTGAACCCATTTCGTGATCTCGGCATTTATACCGACCATGTCCTCGAAAGTTACAAGGGAAAAAATCGCTTAGAGATGCCCCCGCACGTCTTCGCGATCGCCGAATCCGCCTATTATAATATGAAAGCTTATAATGACAACCAGTGTGTCATTATTTCCGGGGAATCTGGGGCTGGTAAAACCGAGGCCGCCAAGCGCATTATGCAATATATTGCGAATGTGTCTGGAGAACAGTCAGGAGATATCAAGAAAATTAAAGAAATGGTTCTTGCGACCAACCCTCTACTAGAGTCGTTTGGAAATGCAAAAACACTGCGGAACAACAACTCTTCGAGATTCGGCAAGTATTTGCAAATCTACTTCAACTCCACTGGCGAGCCGGTTGGCGCCGATATCACGAATTATCTACTCGAAAAGTCTCGTGTTGTTGGCCAGATTACAAACGAAAGAAACTTTCACATCTTCTACCAGTTCACGAAAGGTGCTTCAAGGCAATACCAAGAGCTCTTCGGTATTCAAAAACCAGAGACATATGCATACACGAGCCGATCCAAATGCTTCGATGTCGATGGGATCGATGACATTGCCGATTTCCAAGACACGATCAATGCGATGAAGATAATTGGTCTCAGTCAAACCGAACAAGATGAGATATTTCGCATGCTGGCTGCCATCCTATGGATTGGCAATATCCAGTTCCGCGAAGATGACACTGGATATGCTGCTGTCACTGACCAGTCAGTCGTGGATTTTGTCGCATACCTGATGGAGGTGACACCGGACCAACTGATCCATGCCATCACTATTCGAATTCTCACGCCGCGCAATGGCGAAGTCATCGAGTCCCCCAGCAACCCAGCACAGGCAACTGCTACCCGTGACGCCTTGGCTAAAGCTATTTACAACAATCTGTTTGATTGGATCGTGGAGCGAATCAACAAGTCTCTGAAATCGAGACAAGATACAGCGAACACCATTGGCATCTTGGATATCTACGGATTTGAAATATTTGAAAAGAATAGTTTCGAGCAGCTCTGCATCAATTATGTCAATGAAAAGCTTCAGCAGATCTTCATCCAGCTCACACTGAAGACGGAGCAGGAAGAATATGCACGTGAGAAGATCCAGTGGACACCAATCAAATATTTCGATAATAAAGTCGTCTGTGAATTGATTGAACAGATCAGGCCCCCTGGAATCTTCTCTGCAATGAAAGATGCGACCAAGACAGCACATGCCGACCCTGCCGCTTGTGACAGAACATTTATGCAGAGCATCAATGGCATGTCACATGCTCACCTGACCCCTCGACAGGGAAGCTTCATCGTTAAGCACTATGCAGGAGATGTCTCTTATACTGTGGACGGCATCACCGACAAGAACAAAGATCAATTATTGAAGGGACTCCTTAATCTCTTCCAACACAGCGGCAATCAATTCGTACACACCCTTTTCCCCCACCAAGTTGACCAAGATAATAGAAGACAGCCGCCCTCCGCAGGAGATAGAATTCGTACCTCTGCAAATGCGTTGGTAGACACATTGATGAAATGTCAGCCGTCATATATCCGAACGATCAAACCGAATGAGAATAAGTCGCCCAGCGAATACAACAGTCCCAATGTTCTTCATCAGGTCAAATATCTGGGCCTACAAGAGAATGTTCGTATACGGCGAGCTGGTTTCGCGTATCGTCAATCCTTTGACAAGTTTGTCGAACGGTTTTTCCTGTTATCACCGGCTACATCTTATGCTGGCGAGTACACGTGGCAAGGCTCGACAGAAGAAGCTGTAAAGCAGATTCTGAAGGACACCAGCATTCCCAAAGAGGAGTGGCAACTTGGCGTGACTAAGGCATTCATCAAATCACCAGAGACTCTATTTGCCTTGGAGCACATGCGTGATAGGTATTGGCATAACATGGCCACTCGTATTCAGAGAATGTGGCGTGCATACCTAGCTTACCGTGCTGAATCTGCAACCCGCATTCAACGAATGTGGCGGAAGAAACGAACAGGAGCCGAGTATCTGCAACTTCGAGATCATGGGCACAAGCTTCTTCAAGGCCGAAAAGAGCGCAGACGGATGAGTTTACTGGGATCTCGAAGATTTCTTGGAGATTATCTCGGCGTTAATGCTGCGGCTGGACCTGGCGCACAGATAAGGAACGCAGCTAATATTGGATCAAATGAACGGGTGATGTTCTCTTGCCGTGGAGAAATTTTGGAGGCAAAATTTGGACGATCTAGCAAGCCGAGCCCTCGCCTGATTGTTGTCACAAATAATAAGTTCTACATCATTGCCCAGCTGCTCATCAACGGCCAATTTCAGATTTCAGTCGAACGAGCTATTCCCCTCGGTGCCATCAAATTCATTGGAACGTCTACTCGTCGAGATGATTGGTTCTCTCTTGGAGTGGGATCGGCCCAGGAGCCAGATCCTTTGATGAACTGTGTCCTCAAAACCGAAATGTTTACTCATATGCAGCGAGTCATGCCGGGAGGCTTCAATCTCAAAATAGGCGACGTGATCGAGTACGCGAAGAAGCCGAACAAATTCCAGCAGGTCAAGATAGCCAAAGACTCTCAACAACCAATTGACTTCTATAAGAGTGGTACGATCCATACACAACAAGGAGAACCCCCTAACTCGGCATCACGGCCAATGCCCAAAGCCAAACCCGTACCACCCCGACCCATCACCCGCGGTAAACTTATCAAGCCTGGAGGCCCTGGAGGCCGGCCATCACGGCTAACTGGTAATCGAACTATTCAACCAAGGCCTGGAGGAGGTCCAAGGGCGGTTCCTCAACCGCTAGCTGCAAAAACAACAGCATCTATCGGCGTGGCAAATACTTCAGCTCCTGCCGCGGTCAACAAACCTCTTCCTAGTCACACGAGGAATCAAAACAGCACCAGCGGAGGAGCAAGTCGAGCACCACCCCCGCCGCCGCCCGCCGCACCTCCCGCAAAGCCAAAGATCATGGCCAAAGTATTATATGATTTCAACGGCCAGCGAGATAATGAGCTATCTATCAAGGCTGGAGACATATTGGAGATAGTTCAAAAAGAGAATAATGGTATGGCATCCAGTGTGTTCTGTTCAATGTGAGCAAACGTGGCTAACTAACATCGCATAGGTTGGTGGCTGGCAAAGAATGACTATGGGCAGGCTTGGGTTCCCGCTGCTTATGTAGAGGAACAGGCAGCACCTGCCCCAAGGCCACCCCCGGCTCCTCCCGCTGCCAAGTCAAAACCAACGCCGCCGGCACCTCCGGCCAAACGTCCAGTCGCGGGACGCAAGCCAGGTGAGCTGGCCCAGCGAGATTCCGGTCTTGGCTTGAACGGAATCAGCGGCTCTGAGGGGAGTCGTAGTACAACGCCGACACCGAGTCTAGGGGGCAGCTTGGCTGATGCATTGCTAGCAAGAAAAAATGCTATGCAACGGGACAAAGAAGACGACGACTGGTAGAAGCGGATGCTGAATACATGGTCACGATCTAGAGTAGACGATCCATAGTAGACTGAAGTTTATGTATTGCTTTTGTTAGCGCCGAGACCATGACCTGCGGCGTGCAAAAATTTGTCATGTTATGCAGCCAGGCGGAACTGTGAGACACTGTTAGTTTTGGTATTCACTGGAAATAAATTTTCGACCGATTGTCGAACAGCTCTTGCTTCATCATGCGCAGTGTTCTAATTATGGTCCTTCGCAACCTCAAAAAAAAAGTAGTGCTACAAGTCCATTTAATACATTCAGAACTAATACAGCAAATTTAGACCAAACCACGAATGTCGTCGTGTTTAATCGGCACATTCAGTGCGCAAAATATTTCGCCGACGCAAGAGCTCGACAAGTGGAACATCATCATCTTCAGTTGTTTGTGCGGCGCAGAATTCCGTTTCCTCATCAACGCCGTAATCTTGTAGACTCTCACCGTCGTTGTTTCTCCAATGAACCTCTTGATCAGAACTATAGCCAATACCATGACTGTTTTCACTCAGCATATCGTAATCGTCTACTTCCTCTAGCTCTGCCAATAAATGGCTCCTCCTCTGCATGTCCTGTATTTGGCGTTCTTTGAACGCACTCTTTTGCTCCTCTGGAGACATAGTTTCTGCATTTCTCAGTTCTGCTTTGAAGTCCCTGTGACCTGCAGGCCACTCTCTGTTTGCCCTGCGAATTTTTTCTGGGTCTGGTGGCGGCCACATGCCTTCGTTTCGATTGAATCCATTTTCTTCCCAAGACCATCCGTAGCCCGTTCTATCCTTACCGACTTTAGGGCTCCCGGACAATGGGAAAAACCAGAGGAGAAAGTTTGAGGATCCCATTGCTTGGGACATGTTTGCAAAAAAACCAAGATCATAGGGGAACTCGACCCTTTCAACCCTGATCTTCTTTCCATCGGACCCATTGATATCCCACCAATCCTGGCCTCCCCGTTCCATAACTGCGTCGTGGCGCTCGACCTGCCACCCCTCAATCATAGTGCAATTGAACAGCCAGCTCTTCATTGTCGTTACAAGCATTATGACCAAGGCAAGTGAAGTGAAGAGGCATATGAGTGAGGTGAGAGCCAAACCTATAAGTGCTGACAAGGTCGGACCTAGATATGCAGGCAAGTGCCGTGATTCCCACAGAGCGAAGAATCGTTGCCAGAGAAGGTACCCGAGTATCCCAAGGGATGTGTTGGCGAAAACTAAAAACCGCAAAAAATGAGGGAATGTAGTCATAGAGACACAGTTTGCCGTCCAAGGGCAATGGTGATCCATTTTAGGAATGCAACGTCCACAGTGCCGACAATGATGGGCTCTGGCGGGCTTTGGGGCTGAACATTTCTTGCACCAACTTCCTTCGGCCTCGATCACTTTATCCGTGAAAACATATCGACCAGGATCCTCGGTGATAGTCTTGTAGTAGGTGAACCATAGGGATAATAGGAAAACATTGAAGACGATGGTTTCATTGGCTGAGGGTGGACCGGGGTTGAGCGAGGAATACTGAAACAGGTATTGTGAAAAGTATCCCAGAAACGCAATCAAGATACAAACGGCGGGAACCGCCAAGGATTGCACCATAGGCGCATCATTCAGGCCCGCCATGATGGTGATAATCCGGGGATGGGGGCTTTCACTGGTGGCGTATCCGAGTTTCGTTACATGATTTGAAACACGTCTTTATGACTTCCATGGAAAGAAATGCTCTAAAAATTGGCGTTTAAAAGCAAAAAGTCTTCTGATTCCTTGGCTTTGGCTCTTGAGGAGAAGCTGAGGTTGTGACTTGGAACGACGACATTGATTAGCGTTATGCGGTCGGACAAACGTTCATGCCTCCACCTCCAGGCTTGTTTGTCGTTATGTAAGCGTGTCAGTGTAATGAAGTAGGTCGTGCACAGCCACCTGTTCCCTGTGGCTCGACTAATCACCCCCTGATAAAGTAGTTGGCATTGACCACTTGGAACTTCTTGGATGGCAGCTTTTGTATCTAGCGACCTGCATACGATCGTCCTTTTCAGAAAATGCGCCCTCAGCAGATCTTCATCTGCTAGAAAAGAGAGAACGCCATGGCGCCGCCTGTGGTCCATGAGCTCTCGGCTTTGTGGTATGTTTTTTTCTTTCAACTTGGGCGGTTCGTCAAAGGACTACTGTTCTGATCTGTCGGCTCATAGCACTATCGCTTCATTTATGTATGTTTGTCATTCATTAGAGCGTTACTCTCTGACTGGTATGGAATCGCAATTTTGATAAAATTATGCAATCGCGTCCTTACATTTCATTACCAGATTATTCTCGCCTCCTATTACTGCTTGTTGTCTTTCTCTCTGGCCTTATTTGTCTTGGTGCCAGCTATGCCTCGAAGTGGCTCCCAGGAGCTGATGGAAGATATACTTCTTCAAGAAATGGGCGAACTGGCTTGCTGGTAAACCTAGAACCACACAATCTTACGAAACAAGCTGGCTCTCTGCCTCCTGCCCGAGCAAGACGCTGCTCAGTCCCGATCCTGGTAGCTTGTATTGTTATTCGCTTGGAGCTTTTTAATTATGTCAATTATAAGCAGCAATGCTCTAAACCAGGTGTTGAGGTATGGTTCAAGTCTCTCATCTATCTTTTAGACGGTAGATTTGGGGTGTTTCTATGCTGCCAATCTTTGCCTCCTATCTCGGGGTGAATTCCGCTGATACCGAATTCGCAGTCATGGCTTTGCCTTTTGTTAATTGTTCATGACATAATAACGACGCGTCGTAACTGGTCTATACCAGTTACCGATGAAATGGAAGACCCGTGGCGCAGCGTTTTCGACGACATTCATGATTGGCTAAGTGGTCCAAGAGCGGCAGTCACCTTGTTCACGACCGGAGCTCTTCTATTGTCCACTGGAACTTATGTGGCAGCAAACCAAATTGTGACATCAACATATATTTGTTTTGCGCCTCTGGATAGCCGATCGCAGACTATTTTGCTCCAGTACGCTGGTCTTCTGCTTGACGCAGTCATCATTGTTCTTTTGTGGAGGGTGTTGACTCGGATGAGAAATCTCAAGCTGCGACTTCGAATGCTATCCAATATTTTCCTCACTTCTTCCCTGTTTAGCTCATTTCTATGGCTTACTATCAGCTTGCTCAATGGAAGCAATCTGGCCAGTCTGGGGTTTGGATTTCTGCGGGGATTTGACGTAGTGACGGATAGCTTCGCCCTTGCCACCATGACTATCGGTTTGTCCATTTGGACTTGTGAAACGACGCCAGTTGTATCCACGGCTGTAACAACATTTATTTTTGGAATTTGGCGTGCCGGAATAAACGTCTTTAGTCTTGGAGATTGGATGCATCTCTCACGAGCTGCGAGCCTTGGGCCGCTTTGGCTAATAACCTTTGGCTCAGGTCTTTTCGTTTACGCACATGACATTCGCTCGGTTATCTTCGTTAGACGTATATTATTCGTCTCATTCATGGTATTGCTTCTTATTATCGCTACAGGATTCACATTCATCTATCCGCTCGAATATTTCGATAAGCGCCATCCGATAAACGAACTCATGTATGAGGCCCGTACGATCCATGACCGTTGGCTTACAAAGGCCTCTACGAGTACGACTCTTGCTACGGCGGTGGTGATATATAGAGAACGCCATGGCGGCAGATCACCACCTCCCCACTTCGGTGACTGGTACCAATATGCTTCTGGTTCGTCTATTGTAGATGAATTCCAGCAAATTGATAACGATTTGGACGTGTTCTGGTCTCTGCCACCAGCAACGCTCCGTAGACGTGTTCAGTCGGCATTGTCAAACCCTGGCGTCGGAAACATAACCGTGGAAAATGGGCAAGTCACTGTCAGTGATGCTGGACATGAATCCAAGAACATGGATCTGAGGGAGCTGGCCGATATGATAAAAAAGTTCTCAAGACATCTACCTGACATGGTTCTCCCTGTCAATTTGAACGCGGCACCACGAGTGCTTCCGTTGTGGAAAGATACCCAACTTCAGAGCCGAGGGTACCTGCAATCCATGGCCAAAATAATATCTAAAAGGTCAACAAATACTTGGTCTGCAGAAAACAATACGCTGGGATCGAGATACACAGAGGAGGCTGCTCAAAGTGCAACATGGCATCAAACTCGGGCGAGTGATTTTCAGCAGATGCGAACTGAAGCATGTCCCGCGACGTCGAGGGCTCAAACAAGCCCTTACTGGGATCTTAGTGTATTTTGTTCGGCTTGTGTGAGGCAACACTCCCGTGGCCAGTTGTTGAGCGACTGGGAGAAATCATTGGATGTGTGCTCTCAGCCTGACCTTAATCATCTACACAGCTTTGCAATGACAGACCTAAGCACCCCACCGATCAGAGAACTCGTTCCCCTATTTGGCTCATCTAAGATGGCAGGGTTTCAAGATATTCTGGTCCCATTGTCTTACTTCCGACAAGAGCAGGTGGATGACAGTGAGCCCTTTTTGAAACGCAAGGACACTCTATTCTGGAGGAGTGCAATCGGTGGGCAAGTCATCAATGAACAAGCGTTACGGGGAAGCCATAAGTTAAGGTTAATGCACCTTATCAACAATGCTGACTCCAGAGACTGGGCAACGGTCATTCTCCCTATTCCAGGGGCGGATCATAAATTCAGATCAGTGTCTGTTTCAGTTGCAGAGGCTAATCGCGACCTGTCCTTCAATGTCGGTATAGACGATTTTTCCGCCTGTGCAAGCCAACACTGCAACACCCTTAAGAAAGTTTATGGTGAAAACACCCAGACCGAGGATCCCTTAAAGTATCGGTATGTACTTTTGACTGATGAAGACGACGGCCCACCAGCTACGACATTGAAGATGCTACACTCACAGAGTCTACCCTTCATCTCAACAACGTTCAAGACTTGGTATTCCGAGCGGCTCACTCCTTGGCTGCATTTTGTGCCTGTAGACCCAAGATATCAAGCCCTACACACGACATTACTTTACTTTACAGGGACTGCGAACAAGGCCAAAATGAACGGTATTAATACATACCTGACAGGCCGTTCTTCTGATGGGCAGTGGATCGCGCGACAAGGCCAACGTTGGGCCGGCGAAGCAATAAGTAAGAAGGACATGGAGATATATCTATTTCGACTACTGCTTGAATGGGGTAGGCTCATTGATGACCGAAGGAATGAGATCGGGTACAGAGAGGAAAATGGTGAGTTCCGAAGCGATGAATGGTCTCGCGCATCATAACTTGGATACGTATTGTTGTGAAGTTTTGTTTCCTCGAAGCATGGCGTATGGTATGGTTGTATATCTTGGGAAAAGGGATATGAAATAGAATAGAGCTTAGTCCGCCTTGAATATTGTAGGTGTCTGGTTTGTAACACCTATGTGTCCATCGCAAAGGAGGATAACGCGCGACGCTCCCATTTATCTACTCTAATAGTTCTTCTGCAACTTACTTCAATAACAACGGCGACGTCGTCACGGATGCACCGTGTGTTTATTTGTATCCCTTCAACTTAATCTCTGATTCAACTTTTTTGCGGCTAATTGTGTTCGATATTCTCATGCCCATAACTCAAGATTCTTAACCTCACAGCCAGGTTGGCCCTGATTACGACGGACCAGCCGTCCTATCTTGTAGACGCTTTCAGAAGCGGAAAGTGCTTGGGCCACAGCGTCGGCCTTGCTGGCATCTACAGCAATGACCATGCCAACGCCCGAGTTGAACGTACGGCACATTTCAGCGGGGTCAACATTTCCAGCCTGCTTGAGCCACTGGAAGACAGGCAGAATGTCCCAAGAGCCGTAGATGATTTCAGCAGCAAGGCCATCTGGCAACATACGGGGAACGTTCTCGATGAGACCGCCACCGGTAACGTGGGCCAGACCCTTGATTTCACTGAGAACTGGCAAAAGGCTCTTGACGTAGATGCGGGTTGGGGTCAGGAGGGATTCTCCGACGGTTTTCGATATATCCCATGGCGCTTGTGATTCATACGCCAAGCCAGCACTCTGCACTATCCTTCTCACCAGCGAAAAGCCATTGGAATGGACACCAACAGACCCGAGACCAAGAAGAACGTCTCCTTCCGTCATGGTATTCTGCCGAGGGAGTCGCTCCTCAGAGGTGACGGCACCAACTGCGCATCCTGCGGCATCATAATCCTCGCCCTGATACATGCCGGGCATTTCAGCGGTCTCACCACCTACCAAAGCACATCCAGCCTGGCGACAGCCATCAGCGACGCCTTCGACAAAGGCGGCCGCAGATGGAAGGTCAAGCTTGCTGCAGCCGTAGTAATCCAGGAACATCAATGGCGTGGCTCCCTGGACGATCAAGTCGTTTACATTCATGGCAACAAGATCAATACCCACAGTGTCATGCTTCTTCATAGCTTGGGCAATCATGAGCTTGGTACCAACGCCATCAATAGCGCCAACAAGAATTGGTACGCTCTGGTATCCGCATTGTGAAAGATCAAGCTCGCCACCGAATCCACCGATTTCTGCCTCAGCTCCGGGTCGTTTGGTGCTGGCTACGGCCTTCTTGATTTTCTCGACAAAATCATTACCGGCCTGGATATCGACACCAGCTTGGGCGTAAGTCATGGCCTCCTTGGATTGATCTCGAAAAGCGCGGTGCGCAATATCCTTTCGGAAGAACATGGCTTCGAAGCTGATTATTCCTGAGGTGAGTGCAGAATACGACGCGTCCACAGCGGCTCTAAGGGATTCACCCACAGAGTTAATCGCAATCACTCGACCACCAGATGACTTGAGCTGGTCTCCATCCAGCCTGGTTCCCGCATGGAAAATGGTGCTACCTCGGGGCGGTTGCAAAACAGTCATTGGAATCCCCTTGGCATAAGAGCCAGGGTATCCGCCAGCAGCAACAACAACAGTTGCGCTGAACTTCTGCTCGACCTTCAAGTGACAGTTGTCGAGGTACCCTTCAGCACAAGCAAGCATTATATCTGCCAAATCTGTGTCGGCGGAGAGAAGAGGCAAGACGGTTTGGGTTTCTGGGTCGCCAAATCGCACGTTGTATTCCAGGACTTTGGGACCAGCACTGGTAATCATGAGGCCGGTGAACAGTACACCGCGGAATGGCTGCTTCTCCCGTCGCATTCCCAAAATAGTAGGCTCAAGGATTTCTTTGTCAATGCGCTCCGTCAACTCCTTTGTGGCGATGTTTGTAGGCGCGTAGCAACCCATTCCTCCAGTATTGGGGCCTTGATCGCCATCAAAAATGCGCTTGTGGTCCTGCGCCAAAGGCAATGATCGAATAGTGTAACCATCGCAAAAGGTGAGAACGCTCAGCTCGTCGCCAACCAGGAGTTCTTCAATAACAACCTCATCTCCAGCAGATCCAAAGGCCTTGTCAACCATGATCTGCTTCAGGGCATCCTTCGCCTCTTGTTTCGATTGAGGCAGGATAACGCCTTTGCCGGCAGCAAGACCGGTTGCCTTGATGACAACTTCGTGAGAGACGCTATCAATATACTCGATCGCTTTCTGATAGTCAGAAAAGTTTTCGTACGTAGCAGTTGGGATGTTGTATTTCTTCATGAAGTCCTTGGAGTAGGTCTTGCTTCCCTCCAATCGAGCTGCCTCTTTGGAGGGGCCAAAACAAGGTATTCCGGCCGTTTTGAAGAACCCTTCCACGCCGTCCACAAGAGGCGCTTCAGGTCCAGGAACGACTAAATTGACCCCATTTGACTGTGCAAAGGTGACGAGGCCTGGGTAATCTTCCGCTGAGACTGAGGTGACATTGGTAACCTTTGGACACGAGGCAGTGCCGCCGTTGCCAGGGACAGCAAATATGGTGTCAACTCGAGCAGACTGGCTAAATTTCCACGCCAGAGCATGCTCACGGCCACCATTTCCGATCAGGAGAACTCGAACACTGCCCATTTCAGTATGTGTTGTCGTTTGGAATTCGAGGTGACGGTGAATTGACGAGGGTGACCAGACGGGGCCGAGTGGTCGATGGTTCGTACAAATTGAGTCGGCGAATCGAGAGTCTTGCGGAATAAAATCAGAAATTTCTTGTCCTGATCTCCAGTCAGTCACAACATGCCGACGACAAACCTTACGTGTCTGTAGTATATGTATGTATGCTCTGTGCCATTATCCAAGGCCCTTTTTTTTTTTTTTTTTTACCTCTTTTGCCCCTCCTCAACAACCAGCCTGCAATCCAACCCCTGTACGTTTAGCCAGCAGTGACTTCTGGTGGAGCTGACTGGGGCTAAGGGCCCAACAAGGTATCAGGAAATAAACTAATAAAGTGGAGTAACAGGTACTAAGAAAACCGCTGCTAAAGCCATCTCGCGATAGCCTCAGCCACCGTCATCACAGAAGCAAACCTTGTAAAACATATAGAAGGATTAGTACGTTTTATTCGGGTTAATGTCTCTTATATTCTGACGCGTAGAGTTTGTTCCAGGCTTTCGCCGGCGCGTAAGGTCATGAATTACCTCTTAAGCTAGTGGATTTGACGCATCGCGATGCGTGTACTGTTTTTTGAATTATATGTTACTGTTAAATTAGCTAGGTACAACTATTAATTGTGCTACTAGTGGGTCATGGTGATGAGCTAGCCTTTTTTTTATTTTTTTTATATTGATTTAATTAATGTCTCTTATATTTTTCTTGTGCTTAACAGGATTAAATCTATGGGGTAGGCTCTTGAAAATGACAGCTGTTAGCGTATAACCTCACACTAGCCCCATCTACTGATGTCACACATGGCTAAACTATCAGGGGTATATTGTATATACAAGTGCCCCGCGCGAACTAACCAAAGGTTAATACTAATAAGACGCATCCATCATGCCCTTCTTTCGCAATTCTGCCGAACCCAAAGGAGACAAATTGTTAGTGGAGCAATGCCCATTAGACGCTGCTGTTTGTCTCAGATCGCGAATACCTCGTCTGACGTCGTCTAACGTAGCGTTTGACTGCAGGCCTAGCGTCAGAGCTAGAATTTCTAGATCTGTATGTGCTTCAGCGCCAGCCGCTTTCCTGGGACCTGTCTCTTTTCTTGACGTCGTGCTGGTGCGAGATTGGCTAGGTATGGGCGCTGAAGGAAGAGAGACGACCTCGGGGACCTCAGCAGGATCAATATCCCCGCTCCAGGATATTGATGTAAAGGATGTATTAAGTTTGCTACCGCTCTTCTTGAGCATAACAAAACGTAGAATGACTTCGGTTACCGTGACGAGAATACTGCCGACAATGAGGATAATGACAATCCAGGTAATGTAGCTCATCTTGGCATCAGCGATTGAGTCGGACAGAATCTCGGCGAGATCAAGAAATACACGGCATCTTTCGTTTAGAACCTTTATTCGAGGATCAATTTCGAGATACTCGCGGATGGCAACATAAAGCGGATGTAGCGTAGGTTCTGAGTCCCAGAAGAAATTCGGGACATCAAGAATATTCGATGCTATATTACACTAGAGTCAGAAATGCAGCCCTTATAGTCTTGCGCAGTTGAGTTTTGATGAAAATTTTTGGCTCCAACAGCGGAGGGGAGACAACTTACATAGATTGATGTCCACTCGGCTCTTGAATAATCTGCCGAGAAGAGTGACAATCTCTACTCTCGTCATATTCAACTGTCCTGTTAGCGCCAACGTTTTTGGCACATGTTGCGCGTCTAGCATAGTTTCACTCATCCTCTCCTCAAAAAAGCATAATTTGGTGCTCTGGGCAATAGCATGGCTAATGGTCAACTTGATCATGTGGTCGGACCGAGGCAACAATGTAATCATATCGTTGAACACTCTTGGTCGCTTGACATCGGCGCTGTACTCGAAGTGGAATTCTTCCGTCTCAAAATCGTCTTGCTCCAGCGGGCGAGTCAACAGACTGATGTTATCTTCGGCATCAGCGAAAGTCAAGTCGGCGAGAATATCCTTCTCCTGGTGTTCCGTAAAGTTCCAGAATACCACAACGCCATACGAGAAAACAAACAGTTCAGCAAAATTTTTGGCATCCGGTGCCAGACGGCTCATCTGCGACGGAATGCCATCATCTTGTTCCTGCTGGCCCTCATGCCCATGAGATCGGGAGGAACCGTGGGCAGAGGAATCTCGACCACCTCGTTCTGGGCTCTCGGGATGAGTATATGCATCGTCTTCGAAATAACCCTCGTGGTGGTCACGCTGCTCGCTTCTCTCGATCTCTAAGTCGAGCATGGTCTTACCCGTTCCTGGAGTTTTCAGCATAGGTCGTCC